GATCTGGGGGAGCAGGACCCAGTTTGAGGGGTCAGAACCCAATTCGGGGGTCGAGACAATTTGGTGGGTCAGGACCCAATATGTGGCGGGGCAGGATCCCTCTGGGGGGTGATTTGAGGGGTGGAACCCAATTTTGGGGAGGCAGGACCCGATTTTGGGAGACCAGAAACCAATTTGGGCAGTTGGAACACATTTTTGGCTGGTCAGGACCCATTTTGGAGACAATTTTGGCAGGTCAGGACCAAATTTTCAAGGGTCAAGACTCAGTTTGGGGGGTGACACCCAACTTTAAAGAGTCAGACCCAATTTAGTGGTTCAACACCCACTTTTCAAGGGTCCACAGCCCATTTTGCAGTGCAGGTCCACTAGGGAGTCACCACTCGACTTAGGGGCATCAGGACCCAATTTCAGGGCTCAACACCCAATTTTCAGGGATACACACCCAATTTTAGGTGTGCAGGACCCAATTTGGGGGCCATTACCCAACGTGGGGGATCAGCACGTAATTTTGGGGGGTCAGGACCCAATTTTGGGTTCAGTTGTGTGGGGTCAGGTGCAAATCTGGTGGGCCAATCAACCAATTTTAGGGGCCAGGACCCAGTATCGAGGGGATCAGCACTCAATTTCGGGGCTCAACAACCAAATTTGTAGGGCCCCACACCCAAGTTTAGGGAGTCAGGACCCAATCTGGAGGGTCAGCACCCAATTTTCAGGGGTCAACACCCAACTTTGGGTTCTCTGGACCCAATTTTGGAAGTTCAACCCCCAAGTTTGGGGTCTTAGCCCGCAATGGAGGGGGTCAGGACCCAATTTCAGAGCTCAACCCCCAGTTTTGAGAGTGGTCAGTACCCACTTCTTGGGGCTCAGCCCCCAAGTCAGGGGCTCCCCACCCACTGTCAGAGTGTCCCCACAGGCGAGGTGGCAGGCCCATACTTCACAGGCCACATCACTGACCAGGTGACACAGGAGGACACGTCGGCGGCCATGTGGCCCTTGGTGGTGCTGGGGCTCGGCAGGTGGGTGACTGCAGGGCCGGGGGGAC